GTCCAGGCCTGCTGCCATCTTTAGAAGCCCCTCTTGGTGATGTCATCACCCTGCTGCAGTGTTTAGAACCTGAAAGAACCCTGCCACTGGACAGCCAGTGGTAAGTGTCTATGTCACCCGCAGCATAACATGGGTACCTGGATAAGGACCTTCCAACAATGCAGTTCAGAAGATAGAAGATGGAGACTTTGGATTTGGTTTAGTGGGTATGTGGGGCTTATCACTTAGTTTTTAGTGGTTAGTTGGAGATGGGTGAGTGTAAAGTATGGAGGGTGGAGGGGGGAATGGAGATCATCTGCATGGGTACCAGCTTAGATTATCTACACGTCTATATTATGGTACTACAGGTACTATTATAAAACTGAGAAGTGGACAACTTTTGAAGTTTTTTTTATTTTTATCCAGGATTATATATGTAAAATTAAAAAAGTTAGTGTTCCATAAACAATGTCTAATATTTGAATTGAATAACGAATGGTGCAGAGCTAAAAATATGAATATAATACTCCCTAGTTAGTTTGGTAGTGCTCCATAAACAATAGCCAATATTTGAATTGAATAAAGAATGGTGCAGACAGGGCTACTGTTAGAAACCATGGGGTCCCATACAGCCAACTTGTCCCCCCCCCCAAAAAAAAAAACTCTGTTTATTATGCTTCAGTTATGAATGAACACAGTGAGTGATCGGTACCAATCACTCGCTGTGTTCAATAAGGAAAGAAAGGGGCTGGTAAATGTGACATATTTACCGGACCCTTCTCCTACTCCCCATCCTGAAGGATCCTATCGTGTGCTTGCAGCTGGTGGTGGGAAGGAGAGGAGGGAAGCCAGCAGCACTTGAGGGCACTTGGGAAGCAGGGAGAAAAATATGGTGAACGGGGAGGGAGATTATTATTATTATTATACAGGATGTATATAGCGCCGACAGTTTGCTCAGCGCTTTACATTATGGTGGGAGACAGTACAGTAACAATACAATTCAATACACGAGGGGTTCAAGGGCCCTGCTCCTTGGAGCTTACAATCTAGAAGGGAGGGGGTAGTGATACAGGAGGAAATAGCTGTGGGGGATGGAGTGGTTGGAGGAGTAGAGGAGTTCAGTAATTAGCTGAGGGTGGGGTAGGCTTCCCTGAAGAGATGGGTTTTCAGAGTGCGCCTAAAGGTGAACAGAGTAGGTGATAGTCTGATGGATTGGGGTAGGGAGATGGGTGCGACGGAGGGGCAAATACTGGAACCGATCCCCTGCATGGCTTTCTCTACAGCAGCTGAAATCCAGAAGGAGAGAGAAGAGAGAGCCAGTTTTAAGCTGCTGCAGAGAGAGCCATACAGGGGATTGGTTCCAATAATTGCCCCCCTTGCTGTGATTATCACCCTTCCTACCCACATCCCATTCACCTAGTTGCCTGGGCCCCCCTGCTGGCCTGGGCCCAATACAGGAGGACTGGCGGTACCCCCCCCCCTATCCACGGCCCTGGGTGCAGAGCTAAAAATATGAATAGAATACTCCCTACCTCTACCATAACCAAATGTAAACTGATAGATCTTGGTCACCTTAACCCAGCTCAGTACAATCACAATATAACAATGTGTCCTATGAATCCAAAGCAAATACCATCAAACAATAGTGCACATCACACATATAGCAATACGTGCCCTTAACGTGTCTGAACAAGCCGCTTGCTATGGGGGGCACTCGGCGGGGGGATTAGCCAGGAGCGCCAGTGGGGGACCCAAGAGGAGGAGAATGGGGACTGATACGTGCAAAACCATTACACAGAGCAGGTAAGTACAACATGTTTGATATTAAAAAAAAAATATATGAGTTTACAATCACTTTAATGTGCAATATTTATTTGATGATGTTTGCTTTGGATTCAGATGGCACATTGTTATATTGCGAATGTACTGAGCTGGGTTAACCACTTCTGCTCTGGAAGATATTACCCCCTTCATGACCAGGACATTTTTTGCTGTTTAGCACTGCGTCACCTTAACCTCCCTGGCGGTCTGATTATTTCAGATTTTTGGTGCTGAAAGTGGTACCATTATTTTGCATGGAAATATGTAGTTTGTTTTATTGTAGGCTGTAATATTTAGGAATAACTCACTGAAATCTGTCCGAACAAGAGTCTAGTAAACATCCCGGGTAGGATAAAATTTGAAACACAAAATCATAAATTATAATTTAATAAATAATCATAAAAATAATAATATAATAATAATACATTTAATTCAATAATATAATCAAACCAAAAACACTGAAATGTGAAATATAGCTCCAAGTTCGCACATCACTGAGCTCAGTCGCAGAATCGTTTTCAGTGTCTGATGAGGAATTTCCCCCCACGAATCATTATCACTCAATTCTGCAAGTGGTTCTGATTTACTATCGCTGTTCTCTAGCCGATCTAAACCCGCTTTTGACCTAAAGGGACGCTTTTTGGACGCCATGGACGTTTCTCAGTTTCCAGGCAGAAAGAACAGTAATAATGCAGGCAGGGCGCCGGACAAAGCACTCGGGACAAAATGTATGTGAAATGGTTTGAAACAGCAATGTTTTACTATGTAAAATTCGTTTTGAAAAAAATGACATTTTTTTTAAATTCTCAAATTTCCCACCACCGCCGCCGTCACAGGGACCGGAACACAGAAGCCGGATGCCGGCATCAGCCGCAGGAGATGGCTGGGGACGCTGCAGGGGACACATCGCGGGAGCAAAGGACAAGGTAAGTGCTGCAGGGACTCCCTATGCAACGCCGCATGGTAAGCCCGAGTGTAGCTCGGGGGTTACCGCTTTTGGTACAGAAACTTTACCCCGAGTTACACTCGGGAATACCGCCAGGGAGGTTAACTGGTAATTTCAATGCTGTATGCAAGCAAAATTTATGTCTTTTTTTCCCGCAAATAGAATCTTTCGGTGGTATTTGATCACCGCTGTGTCTATTTTTTGCACTATAAAGAAAAAAAGACCGACAATTTTGAAAAAAACCCCCAATATTTTCGACTTTTTGCTATTAAACATATCCAGTAAAAAAATGTAAAAAATCAAATTTCGTCAGAAATTTAGGCCAAATGTATTCTGCTCCATGTCCTTTTTCACACAAATAGAGCTTTCTTTTGCTGGTATTTGATCACCACTGGGTTTTATTATTGTTGCGATATAAACTAAAAATTATCCAAAATGTTGAAAAAAGTTTTTTTTTTACATTTATGCTATAAATTATATCCAATAAAAAAAATTCATAAATTTAGGCCAAAATACATTCTTCTACATCTTTGGAAAAAAAAAATCTTAAGTGTATATTGATTGGTTTATGTGAAAGTTATAGCGTCTACAATCTATGAGATATTTACTGGAATTTTTTAAAATGTATTTTTCATTTATAATGCTAATGGCGGGCATCAGGGACTTATAGTGGAACTAACTGCAGCGGGTGCCCCCATAGCAAGCTGCTTGCTGTAGGGGCACCCGACGGGAGGGAGGGGCCAGGAGAGACTTCAGGGGACCCCAGAAGAGGAGGATCAGGGCTCTGTGTAAAGCCAATGCACACAGCAGGTAAGTATGGACATGGTTGTGTTTTGTAGGAAAAAAAATGTAAGCCTTTAGTATCGTTTTCAAATTAAAAAAAAAACATTTTTTACTTTCTGCTATAAAACATGTCCAAAAAAACATAAAACAATCTTATGTCTTCATAAATTTAGACCAAAATGTATTCTGCTACACGTCTGTGGTAAAAAATAATAATAAGTGTAGATGCTATAACTCTTCTTGCAAGAAATATACAAACTATGGGATATATATAGGATTTATTTTTTTTACTAATGGCAGTGATCAGCAACTTATAATGGGACTGCAATAGTTTGGTGGGCAGGGGTGGACTGACAACTCATGGGGCCCCTGGGCAATAAGGGATCATGGGGCCCCTGTGTCCTTGCCCAAACTCAAAAAAGCCTATGAAAAAGGTACCAGGGGCATCTCATGGGGCCCCCTCCTGACCCTGGGCCCTCGGGCAGTGCCCAAGTTTCCAAATGGTCAGTCTGCCCCTGGTGGTGGGTAATCTGGCACTAACTGATGCTGGGAACTGACTAACTGTCACTGACATCACCAGCATCATTAACACTATGATCAGTGATAATACTATACGTCACGGGTCTCCAAACTTTCTAACCTAACTTTCTAAGGGCCAGTTTACTGTCCTGCAGACTTTAGGGGGGGCCAGACTAGAAAATGGGAGTAAACAATGCCCCATCTTTGGTGTTAGGGAGAGCACCATCGATGTGGTGGTGTGCTCCATCGATGGTGCCATTGGGAGAAATTGTGCCCCATTATTGGTGTCATTGGGCCCCATTCTTGGTATCATTGGGATGAACTGTGCCCCATCATTGGTGTAATTGGTGGGAATTGTGCCCCATCATCGGGAGGAATTTGTTGGTGTCAGTGGATTAAATCGTGCCCCAAGGGCCAGATAAAAGCAAGCAAAGGGCCGCATCTGGCCCCTGGGCCGCAGTATGGAGACCACTGCTATACACTGTTTTTTAAAAAAAAATAACAAACATGTCTATACCTACCTGCTCTTCCTCTTCTTGGGTCTCCTAACAGGGCTCCTGGCCCCTCCCTGCTGTCCGGTGCCAGCACAGCAAGCAGCTTGCTATGGAGGCACCCACTGCTCCATGTGTCCATTCACACACAGAGCCAGGGCTCGGCCCCGCCCCCTCTCTCTTCTTATTGGCTCACTAGCTGTGATTGACAGCAGTGTGAGAAAATGGCTCCCGCTTCTGTCTCAATCAATGAGAGGGAGTCCTGGGATACTCCAGTGCACATCGCTGGATCGAGAAGGGGCTTAGGGGAGTATTAGGGGGCCTGGGGGGGATGCTGCACACAGAAGATGCACATAAAATGCATGAAGATAAAAACCTTGAGCCTTTATAACCACTTTAACTACCTTCCGCCCGCCCCATAGTACAATGACGGGCGCAAGGTGGTTCTCTCGTTCGGATAGGCCATCATATGACGTCCTTCCATTCTCACCACGCATGCGCAGCCCAGAGAGCGCCCACATGTAAACACGGAAATGCCGGTTATTGGCATTTCTCTCCTCTCGAGCTGTCACGCTGACAGAGGAGAGGAGAGCCGGTAATCGGCTTTCCGCGGGGGGGACATGTACACTGATCATTAGAGCACTGATGATCAGTGTGCCCTGATGATCAGTGTGGCTCCAGAAGTGCCACCTGTCAGTGTCCATCAGTGCCAGCAGTCAGTGCTCGCCAGTGCCCATCAGTGCCACATCAATGCCACATATCAGTGCATACCAGTGCACATCAATGCCACATATCAGTGCCCATCTGAGCTGCCTTTCAATGTCACCCATCAGTGCCAGTCAGTGCCACCTATCAATGCCAATCAGTGCCAGCCTATCAGTGCTGCCAATCAGTGCCACCTATCAGTGCCAGTCAGTATCGCCTATCAGTGCGCATCAGTGCTGCCTAACAGTGCCAGTCAGTGCTGCCTAACAGTGCCAGTCAGTGCCGCCTAACAGTGTCAGTCAGTGCTGCCTAAAAGTGCCACCTATCAGTGCCATAGATCACTGTCATGTATCATTGCTGCCTTTCAGTGCCCATCAGTGATGCCTGTCAATGCCCATCAGTGCAACCTACCAGTGCCTCCTCCTCAGTGCCCATCAGTGCCACCTAACAGGGTCCATCAGTGCAGCCTATCAGTGCCCATCACTGCAGCCTCATTAGCGCACATCAGTGAAGGAGAAAAATCACTTATTTACAAAATTGTATAACAAAAACTAAGAAAAAACATTTTTTTCCCCAAAATTTTCAGTGGTTTTTGGTTTGTTTAAGAAAAAATAAAAATCCCAGAGGTGATTAAATACCACCAAAATAAAGCTCTATCTGTCACGAAAAAATGATAAAATTTTCATATGGGTACAGTGTTGCATGACCGCGTAATTGTCATTCAAAGTGCGACAGCGCTGAAAGCTGGAAATTGGCCTGGGGGCAGGAAGGGGGTAGAAGTGCCCGGTAGTCGAGGGGTTAAGGTGACCGAGATTTATAATTTGACATTTGTTTATGTTAGAGGTGGGGATTATTATATTTCTGTTTTTACAGCTGCACCGTTCTTTATTCAATTCTCCCCGTTTATTCTTCGTGAGTGGCTTAGAGTTAGGTTTCTGAGTGTGAAAGGCTCCTTTTATCAGTTTATGTGGATAAGTTTGACAATGCCCGATATTTATTTCATTGTTAACCCCTCGCCTACCGGGCACTTGTACCCCCTTCCTGCCCAGGCCAATTTTCAGCTTTCAGCGCTGTCGCACTTTGAATGACAATTGCGCGGTCATGCGACATTGTACTCATATGAAATTGTTATTTTTTTTCCACACAAATAGAGCTTTCTTTTGGTGTTATTTTAATCAGCACTGGGTGTTTTATTTTTTTCCTTACAATCAAAAAAAAGAAAAGCAAAAAAAAAAAAAAGTTTTTCTTTGTTTCTATTATAAAATTTTGTAAACAGGTAATTTTTCTCCTTCACTGATATGCGTTGATGAGGCACATCGGGGGAGATTTTTAAAATCTGGCGCACTCAGTTGGTGCCAGCTGTGCATAGTAGCCAATCAGCTTCTAACTTCACCTTGTTCAATTCAGCTTTGGCAATAAAACCTTGGAAGCAAGGGGCGGACTGACAACTCATGGGGCCCCCGGACAATAGGGGATCATAGGGCCCCCGGGCAATAGGTGATCATGGGGGGCCCCAGGCAATAGGGGATTGTGGGGCCCCCAGGCAATAGGGGATCATGGGGCCCCCGGGCAATAGGTGATCATGGGGGGCCCCAGGCAATAGGTGATCATGGGGCCCCCGGGCAATAGGGATCATGGGGCTCCTGGGCAATTGAGGATCATGGGGCCCCTGTGTCCTCACCCACACTCAAACCACACCCAAAAAAGCCTATCTCAGGGGGCCCCCTACTGACCCCAGGCCCTCGGGCAGTGCTCGAGTTCCCAAATGGTCAGTTTGCCCCTGCTGGAAGCTGATTGGTTTCCATATAGGGCTGTGCCAAATTTTGCACTCTCCAGCTTTAGTAAATAAACCCCTCTGTTAGGGACATATTTAACCGCATTGATCGCCCTAGATGTTAACCCTTTCCCAGCCAGTGTCATTAGTACAGTAACAGTGTATTATCACTGATCACTGTAGTGGTGTCACTGGTGATGTCAGTGGCAGTTAGTCGGTTCCTAGCATTAGTTAGTGTGAGATTGCCCACCACACAATTGCAGTCCCATTATAAGTCACTGATCACCGCCCTTAGTGGTAAAAAGATAAATCTAATATACAGTATATAGCGCCAACAGTTTGCTCAGCACTTTACAATATAACGGGAGACAATACAGCAACAATACAGTTCAAGAGGGATAGGAGGGCCTGATCCTGGAAGCTTACAATCTAAGAGTTATATATATATGTATTGTACATTCATATCAGTCCCTAACCCTCAAGGGGCGTACAATCTAAGGTCCCTAACTCACATTCATACCTACACATACTAGGGCCAAATTAGACAGGAGCCAATTAACCTCTCAGCATGTCTTTGCAGTGTGGGAGGAAACCAGAGTACCTGGAGGAAACCCACACAGGCACAGGGAGAACATGCAAACTCCAGGCAGGTGGTGCCATGGTTGGTATTCGAACCAACATTCCTATTATATCTGCCCCTTTCCTGCATACAGTTGCAGACATTGCATATAGTTAACACGTGTTGCGGCCTAGTTCCCCTGGCTGCTACTATTGAACACATTTTCAGCACAGTCCAATCATCAGAGCTGACCTCACGCTTTCTGCAGACCAAACCACATCAGTGGTCCTTTAAACCATCGGCCTGCCCCCTTAAAGGAACCTGTACTACCATTGCCATTAGTTACTACAGCCCAAAAAGGAGTCGCCCTTTGCCAGCAAGCGCTTCTGCCAACCTCTGAAATTTGCAACTTGCACAGTGCATTAAAGGGACACCACCCAAGTCAAATGACAATTAAAGGGATAGTACTTGTCCTTACTTCTTGTTTTCCTTGTATTGGTCCTTTGAGGGCCTGTCCCCTTCATCTCTTCCCACTGAAATGTTATAGTGCACCAACTGGGCCCCAACGAGTGCGCAGAAGATTCCTCACTGCATCTAAAGGGATATTGAGTACCCTAGGTAAAGAGCTCTTTCCTATCTCAGATTTAAACCTTGCCATCAGATTCTGAGAGCCCAAAGTGAACTAGTTTAACCACTTGCCCTCCTGAGGATTTACCCCCCCCCCTTCCTGACCAGGCCATTGTTTGCGATACGGCGCTGCGTTACTGACAATTGCGTGGTCATGCAATGCAGCACACAAATTAAATTTACATCCTTTTTTTTCCCACAAATTGAGCTTTCTTTCGTTGGTATTTGATCGCCTGTGCGGTTTTTATTTTTTGTGCTTTAAAAAAAAAAAAAAAAAAGGACCGACAATTTTTGAGGGAAAAAACAATATTTTTGACTTTTTGATATTAAAGATATGCAGTAAAAAAATATAAAAAATCTATTTTTTCCATACATTTAGGCCAAAATGTATTCTGCTCCATATCTTTGCTACAAAAACATCCCAATACGTGTAAATTAGTTGGTTTATGTGAAAGTTATAGCATTTACAAATGGCGGTATATATACTCGGATTTTTTTATTCATTGTTACTAGTAATGGCTTTGATCAGCGAATTATAGCGGGACTGTGGCAGACATTCTGACACTGGGGGGGGAGCAGACTTGGTGTCACTGACATCCCCAGTGACACCAATACAGTGATCAGTGCTAAAAAAAAAACACTGACACTGTACTAATGGCACTGAGCAGGAAGGGGTTAACATGTGGGGCGATCAAAGGGTTAACTGTGTGCTGGGAGTGTTTTACTAGGGGTGGTGTCTGTGTGCTTCACTGTATTCACACTGCTATGGATGGCTGTGCTTGTAGTGTGCCTGAGCTGACAGGGAGGAGAACTGTTAGTAAACAAAACAGATCCTCAGAAATCACTGAGTGAGTAATTACCAGCTGGGGCCCGGTGATTGACAGCCTCGGCCGCGAATGTCAAAAAATCACTCTGTGATCCAGTGTTTATAAATAACATAATAGAAATATACAATGTAACATAATGTTACTTTTGTATCTTTCTGTTCGTTCACCAGCAGATTTTTTTTTTTGTAAATATTTTTTTTCAATATTTAAATATATTTTTTTAACATTATTATTATTATTATTATTATTATTTTTACAAAATACTTAATCAGAGTAGTTCAGTGTTACCACAGTAACGTTGTATTGCTCTGGGGGTTTGTGATCAGGGATTTTTTTTTGACACTTTGCTGGTTCAATAAAGATCATTACACCTGCAAATCTTTGAACTGTCATGAATGGGTTAAAGCGGAGTTCCACTCATGCTGTCAAAAAATAAAAGTCTACAAAAACTGTAGCTGCTGACTTTTAAAAAACAGCCACTTACCTGTCCCTCAGTCCCGTGGTTTGTCCCCCGCAGCCTGTTTCACCGGCTGTCCTGTATTCCAGGAGGCCGGCATCTTCAGTGTGTGATAGCTTGCAGCTTCATAGCCAGGTACCCACTGCGCATGCGCGAGTAGCACTGCGCTTCATGAATGGTCCTGTAGTCTTCTGGTACCTGTCATGTGTCCCGTAACACTACAGGGAGGGAGGACACCTTCCGCTTCCGATCGCCTAGACGATTGGACCGGAAGTGGTTGTGGGTACCTGTCAAATTCAGGTAGCTGCTCCCCTGCCCCCCAAAGGTGCCAATTCTTAATGGGGAGTGGGGGAGCAGTCCTTAAAGCGTAACTTCCCCTTTTGGGTGGAGCTCCGCTTTAAGTTCATGACAGTTTGGAAGACTAGTGATCTGTGATTGGCTACAACTAATCACATGGTACAGGGTGCTGTGATTGGCCCATGTAGCATGTGAGAGCTGTGGGCCAATCACAGCTCACTAGTAAGGAAGGCAAAGCTGTTATGAATCACATTGATTCATAACAGCTTTGTTGACATTGTGATCATGTGATCGCAAGCCATCACATGATCATCGAGTCTTGAGTATTGGGATCCACACTGCTGTGTTACTATTGTCAAAATGACGTATGGGTACATCGCTTTGCCTGTACATGCCGTCCACCTGCAGTAAAAGTACTGTGGGCAATCAACAACTGGGTAACTACTTGCCAGCCGCCCACCTGCCTGCCCTCAATGTGCTGCAGGCGAGCGGCGGCTCTGGGCAAAGTGACGTACCCATACATCGCAATCAATTTCCAGGTGTGAGCGTGCATGCATGTGCACCTCGCTGGCCCCCCCTGTCGGTCCAGGGAGAAAAGAAAGAACACCATGCTGTGAGTAAAAGCACTACAT